CCGACACACCGTGACACCCACCGAGACGCCGACACACAGTGACACCCACCGAGACGCCGACACACCGAAACGCCAACACACCGAGACACTGAGACGCACGCCAACACACCGACGCACGCCGAGACACCGTGACACCCACCGAGACGCCGACACACCCGCCGTGCCACCGAGACACTGTGACACACGCAGTGACGCCGAGACACCGTGATGCACGCAGTGACACCGTGACACTGAGATGCTGTGACGCCCTGACACCGAGACGCCGTGCCGCAGTGACACCGAGATGCTGTGACGCACGCAGTGACGCCAAGACACCGTGATGCACGCAGTGACGCCCTGACACCGAGACACCGTGCCGCAGTGACACCGAGACACTGTGACGCACGCAGTGACGCCGAGACACCGTGATCCACGCAGTGACGCCGTGCCGCAGTGACACCGAGACGCTGTGACGCACGCAGTGACGCAGAGACACCGTGATGCACGCAGTGACGCCGTGACACCAGACGCTGTGACGCACGCAGTGACGCCGTGACACCATGATGCACGCAGTGACGCCGTGCCGCAGTGACACCGTGACGCAGTGACACCATGATGCACGCAGTGACGCCGTGCCGCAGTGAGACCGTGACGCCCGCAGTGACGCTGTGCCGCAGTGACACCATTACGCACACTAACACTGAGTATACAATAACACTGAGTGTACACTAACACTGAGTATAACACCGAGTGTACACTAACACCGAGTGTACACTAACACTGAGCATACATTAACACAGAGTATAACACAGAGTATACACTAACACTGAGTATAACACATTGAATACACTAACACTGAGTATACACTAACACTGAGTATTCACTAACATGGAGTATACACTAACACTGAGTGTACACTAACACAGAGTAGAACACTGAGTATACACTAACACAGAGTAGAACACTGAGTATACACTAACCCTGAGTATACACGGTGGCAAAACCAACCTCACCACTGGGCATTGAAGAAGCCTGTTTGCCCGCCTCCTGCCTGCTGACTCTGGCCCCTGGGAGATTTGGCCCTTTAAATACAGTATTTGGGCATATAGTATTTTATTATGCTGCTGCTGGCCCTTTAAGAACCATCTGGGGACATACTGTGAATTTTGGGAACAATGCCCCTTTAAGACTATGGCCCTTGGAAGATATTGCCTGTTATAGATTATTTTAGCAGATTGGATTTTAAAAGACCTGCTGCCCCTTTAAATTGTATTGGAGCAGTTCTGCAACTTTAAATTGTCACTTCGGATGCAGTCGAAGTGGCCGCCATTCGACAAACGAACACGTGGCAGCGGCCATCTATGTTCATTCGAACGAGGTCAGCGGTATGTGTAGCCAAATCCATTGAACTGAAATCAGCTACACATTTCATCGAACACCGCTGACCCTTACCTTCTCCTACACTCAGTTTTCAGCTGCAGAGACTAAGTCCCGTTCGGCAGTTTGAACTCACTCCTATACTAAGCTAAATGCACGAACGGCCTCGTGCATTCTGTGTAAAATAGACCGACCGCACAGCCCAAATCTATGGAACTGTTTTGGGCAGGAAAATGTGTCTGTCATAAAGGACTCTGAGCTAACTTTTTATCTACTGGATGGATTTGTCTGATGAGTGTTTATGTTTAAAGTGTGCTGATTCTGAATATGTAATTTTTATGAAGATAGGACATATATTTTTAAAGTTATAGCACATGTATAAAAACTGTATTTTTCCTGCTTGTGATAATTATGTTAACCCATTGTGTACCATAATTAGATCACAGGCAGAGGAGAGAATGTTGTGTATAATTGCTGGGAGTGTTTTCTGTAATGTACGTGTGTTATTGGTTGTTCTGTAAAACCCTGTGGGCAGTACTAAGTTTGTGGATTGGGAATAAAAGAGGCTGTATGTGCCAGTACAGTCAGTTCTTCTTGACCTCAAAACGAAGCGTCGTCTCGTTATTGGGGGAATTGGATTGTATGCTGATTGCCAGGAGTATAAGTTGATTGTATGCTTTTCCTGTTCAGCTGCTTACATAGAATGTGACGGCAGATAAGAACCATTCGGCCCATCTAGTCTGCCCATTCATATGCTTGAGAGCATTCGTATGCTTCTCCGGTTCGGTGGTTGTGGTGTCTGCTGCAGTGCTTGGAGTCCTCAGGAAGCGCTCGGAGCATCCTTCAACAGAGGTACCCAGTCGGGGTGCCAGGTGATCCGTTACATACACTAACACTGAGCACAGCACTGAGTATACACTAACACTGAGCACAGAACCCAGTATACAATAATACTACTTTTACTACTGTTAAGTATAAAATGTTCCCATTTATAGCTGGTGTGTGCCAGTGTAACATTATTATTGGTATTGTCAGTGAATGTACCCCACCAATATGCCATGTAATAAAGACATTAATATTTAGGGGTGATAGAATCTGGTTGGTACAGCACGTTTGCTCTCCCCAACCCCTCTCTGTCCATCGTTTGCCCCTCCTAGCTGTAAATACTTATATATAACAGTGTCTTATCTCCATCCCTGTACCCTAGGCCTTGATTCACAAACCCAGCTAACCGGCAATACTGAGATTCCTCATTGTCACTGAGCACTAACCCGCAAACCCTTTGTAACGGTTTGGTTAGATTGTAAGCTCACAGGCTATATAACTAAGCACTTTGTGTAGAATGGCTGGATTGCAGCTCACGGAGGGGCTCTCCTTGCCCTTTGTATGGGTTTGGTTAGATTGTAAGATCACAGGCTATATAACTAAGCACTTTGTGTAGAATGGCTGGATCTCAGCTCACAGCAGGGCTCTCCTTACCCTTTGTATTGGTTTGATTAGATTGTAAGCTCACGGGCCATCTTACTAAGCAATTTGTATAAAATGGCTGGATCACAGCTCACAGCAGGGCTCTCCTTACCCTTTGTATTCGTTTGATTAGATTGTAAGCTCACAGGCTATGTAACTAAGCGCTTTATATAAAATGGCTGCATCGCAGCTCACGACAGGGCTCTCCTTAACCTTTGTATTAATTTGGTTAGATTATAAACTCACGGCAGGGCTCTCTTTACCCTTTATATATATATATTTAGTTAGATTGTAATGTTTATTTTTCCCAATTTTACAGCACTATGTATAAACCCCAGTTTATATGTAGGTGCTGTATAAATGCCAGTGATATATAAATAGCACAAAACTGAGTATATAATAACACACATATAGCCTAGCGCTGAATGTAAATATTTTTCGCATTTATATAGCGCCAACTTTTTCCACCTGGCTGTACAATATTATAAAAAGGGGACATTTAACAATATATGAGACAGTTACAAAATGTTACAGGAATGTTAGGTTTATTAGGACCCTGCTCAAACAAGCTTACGGTCTGGAGTTATTGTTAGCGTTATGGTTAGTATTAGTATTTTAGGTTTAGGGTTAGTGACTAATCTAGGTTTAGTGCTTAATGTTCAGAATGAGACGTTTATCAAGTTCAGCTTTTTGCACTTTTGGTTTTGCTGTTGGTCCAACAAATGGCAAAATATCCCGTTTGAAGCACTTTCCAATTTTGCAACAAACTAGGAAAAACTAGTTCTTGACCCCAGAATGGCAGTCCGATATCTCCTTGGATCAAGTTTAGGGTTTGTAGTTTAGGAGTAATAGATTACTGCCTATTTCAGTTTTTTTGGATTAAAACAGCTAGTTTATTATGAGTGGGTTAGTATTAGTAGCTAATTTAATATTCATGGTTTATTAGTGTCTAGAATAAGTCAGTACATGCCAATTAGTGTTAGGATAAGTGGCCATATTAGGGTTAGTGGAGGGAGTGTACAGAATCCTAAAATAAACAGCCTTAAAACAGTGAAGGGACGATCAGTTGTACGTCTATTCCAGTCTGTGACCTGTGCTGACCTTGAATTTGTTATAATCCCCCAATCTATGGCCTGTACTGACCTTGAACCTGTAATAATCTGTCCCAATCTGTAATCTGTACTGACCTTCGATTTGTTATAATCCCTCAATCTATGACCTGTACTGACCTTCGATTTGTTATAACTTATCCCAATGTGACCTGTACTGACTTTGAACCTGTTATAATCTGTCCCAATCTGTAACCTGTACTGACCTTCGATTTGTTATAATCTCCCAATCTATGACCTGTACTGACCTTGAACCTGTTATACATCTATCCCAATTGTGACCTGTACTGACCTTTGATTTGTTATAATTTGTCCCAATCAGTGAGCTGTACTGACCTCGGACGTGTTATGCATCTATCCCAATCTGTAACCTGCACTGACCTTGGACCTGTTATAAATTTATCCC